GCCAACAATGTCAAACAGGCCCTGATTCAGGTTCAGGGAAACCAGCCCTGCTTATGCCCCAGAGCCCTCCCCTAATGTTTCAATGGGTTTCCATTGCTCTGAGGGGCTGTGTACCACAGCAGCCATGGACCAGGAAACCTGCTGTGTAATTTTGGTTGTTAGGCTTAGCCTTTAATGCCTGTGCCATCTCTCCAGCCCCTGCTGTGTAATTTGGTCCAGTTTACCTTGTTCTACTTGGGCTGAAGCTGTAGCAAGTTCATGGACTGAAGGTGGAGCCCACAGAGGTACTTTAAGTAAAATGGTATTAGGACTGGTGAGGGGTGGGTATGATCACTTCACCATAGAAGAAAGCTCACCAAACACCAGTGAGATGCCTGGGTTTCTTGGAACGGGGTGTGCACCAGTGCCAGCTCATCCCATGCTCGGGACCCTTCCTGTCGCATGAGGGTCCCTCATTGACTGTCTGTTGCCTCTACACACCAGGCCTGGGAGCAGCTGCTTTCCAGGTGAGCCATGTAAGTTGGTGGGTTAGACCACCAGGGACCTCTCAGCCCAGATTCTAGCCCAGCACATCAAAGGTGGATTCACTGCTGTTCCAAAGCAAGGCCTATTTGAGGCTGATGAACAGCTTAAAATGCAGTTCTGTTATTCTCATGTCTCAGGGGATAGGAAAGGGGTGGAATGCACAATTTCCAGCTCCCTGGAAGCTGCTGTATCCTCCTTCCAGGACTAGGCATCTAGAGACAGGAACTCTAGAGCCACACCCACCTGGCCAGCTGACTCCTTGTTAACAGAGGAAGGACCAAGATTTTCCCAGACACTTTACAAGTCTCTCAGTTCTTCCCTCCACAATCTCTTTGAGTTCATTCCCAAACTCCAGTTTAGCACCCCATCCCGATTCCTGATATACTCCCCTGGTTTATGGCAAACTTTTCCACCTCTGGCTCTGGCTAGAAAGTGGAACTTTCCACACCTCCCTGCACATGTGCCTCTGAAGGCAAAGTGGTATAGGACAGACACTCAGTCTGGGATGGAAAGCTCCTCCCTGCAGTGGCGGCTGTAACAACCAGTTAACTTCTATGTTTCTCTAGGTCAGCACTACTAAGGGGCTCACTGACCTCAGGAGCCCTCTGGCTTTGTGTTATAGGAGGGATACTCTAATTCTGTTCATGTCCCTTTCACCCTCATCCTTCTGAGGTAGGGTTCCCATGCTTTCCTGTAAGGCCCCCTATTACCCACAATGGCTACATCCTCCACGGGTCTCTCTGTGATCCCTTGAGCAGGGTATGTGTTGTGGGTGGTGGGAGAGCAAAACTTACTCTGCTGCATGGACAGGATGCTGGTGGCTCAAGTAGGTTTGCCATAACAAAGGGCTGTGGACTTGTCTTAAACCTTACACTCATTCACTGCTTGTGGTTCTGAGGGCTGGACTGAGAAGTTCAAGGTTGAGGAGCAGTAGACTCAGTGTCTGGTATGGCTCCCTCTTTGCTTTGTGGAGAGGCTGGCTTCTCCTTGTGTTTTAGGAAGAGGGTGAAGAGCCCTCTGGCTTTCCCGTGTGTGTGTGTGTGTGTGTGTGTGTGTGTGTGTGTGTGTGTGTGTGTGTGTACCTGTGTGGGTGCATGTGTGTGGAAGCCAGAGATCAACCTTGGATGCAGTTCTTCTGTTGTCATTTCCTGGTGCCATCCACCTTGTTTTTTGAGGCAGGGTCTCTAATAGGCATGGAGCTCATTAGGTAGACTAGGCTGGCTGGCCAGTGACCCCCCAGGGACCTACCTGTCTGCCTCTAGCTCCCTAGGGCTGAGATGACAAGTGCATGCCATTACACCTGACATTTTTACATGGGTTTGGGGATCGAACAGTAAAGACAAGACAGCACTTTACTGACTGACCTATCCCTTCTTCACGTGGCTTCTTCCAAGGGTACAACCCCACTCCTGAGGATTCCACCCTTTGGACCTAACCGCTCCTAAAAGCTCTATCTTATAGTCAGAGTTTCAAATGAGTCATGAGAAGTTACAATTGTTTGGTCCTTGCAGATGTCTACAGACATGAACGTGTGTATATAAATGATGGTTAGTCTTCACATGATTGAACTGAAAAGTGCCTAGGACAGCAGTAAATCACACCTCTGTGGAGGTCTGTGAAGGTCTTTCCAGAGAGGATTAACTAAGTGGGAAAGATCTACTCTGATTGTCATTGGCACCATTCAGCTGAGGGTCTGGGTGGAACAAAAGGGACAGGAGGAAGCCTGTTTCTCTCTCTCTCTCTCTCTCTCTCTCTCTCTCTCTCTCTCTGTCCCCCTCTCCTCTGACTTAGCACAAACAAGTCTAACATGCACACA